CATACCTATACAACCCATATATGGCAGTACCCCCCCCTCCCCCGTCTCTATTCCGGAATCTGGGTCTTGAGCAAACCCGATTTTGTGGGCTTTTTGGTTGTTCACACCATAACAGAAACGGGATTTTGCCGTTATCATTGTGAAGGTCTATAAAAGTTAGTTCCTTAGTTCTACTCTTGTTATACCCCCTGACGAAGTCTGTGTGTGATCAGACGAAACCGGTCGGAGAAATAAAACGATTAACAAGATACGAGTACTAGCGTTGCTTTGTGCTGCTCACTGGTGTTCAACAAATAGATTTAAGTAAAAAATAAATTAATTAATTAAAAAAGCTTCGCAGCTTTTTTGATAAACTGCTCTTGGTGCTTAAATATCTTTGAAACGCAAAAGGTCATCAGCAAAGACAATTAGGACGTGAAACTATTTGCATTGATCCGGAACATTACGGATCATTCAGATGATCATTACACTCAACTATTTTATGTTCCAATTTTATTTTTTGAAGTAGAAACTCAGAAAGTAACATCAAACTGATTGTTACCCACAGGTAGATCGAAGCAACGAATTCTTTTTACAAGTAAGTTCGCCGGGTAAGTTCGTAAAGGAGCGAAGTCAGATTGATCTCGTTTAAAGGTTAAATTCTAATTTTCCCATGGGCATTCCACGTCCCGTTCGCATGGGAGTCCCCCCGGGGGAAAGTATTGCAAGAGGTTTAGTTTACCTTTAGAGGTATATTCCTCCTCTTTTACTCCATTGTTGCGGTAAAATTCACCGACCAGGTTGACTCTCTGAACGTTTTTCAAACCTGTCACATCTCTTCCGACATGTACTTTTGCAATTTGGTTGACTTCCGCCATGAAATCTTCAACAACATCAATCCTTTGGTTTATAATCTCGACTCGAACCATGGCAGTAATGCAAATCAGCAACGAGAAAATCGAGAGCGGATAAACAAACTTTCCTGTATGGTTTTTGGAATCTTGAGAGCGTGAATGTTCAGTTTTCTCGGCGGCCATGACCGCTGGTGTCGTATGTAAATAAAACAACACGGACAGTAAGCCAAATTCTTTATTTGAAATGTTATTCCTCTTTATGATATCGAGTTAAGTCAGTTATATGAGGTCACGTATGCAATTAATAACCCTTTAAACCCTAAGATAAAAATCTGAATTCTCCTTCAGGTTGCTTTTTTTCATTTCCTACAGAAGAAGGGGAAGAGGTTGATAAAATATAAAGCAAATTCATCTTGTGTGATAATGTTCGTAATTCTCATTACCACTTGGGTTTTACAAAGCATTGATATTACCAGGAGAAATTTGATCCTGATCACTCTTAGGGCTAGACTGTTCCTCTCTCCTCCGCAGAGGCTCCCGCTGGGTATCCCCATCAAAATATCAATAATCGACAAAAATAGAAAGCGCGCGGGGGACGATGGGAAGAGGGAAACGACACGTATGCAATTAATAACCCTTTAAACCCTAAGATACGTATAATTCTCCTTCAGGTTGCTTTCTCTTCCACCTTCCCATCGTGCCCCGCGCGCTCCCTTTTTCTTTCTCCCCAGCCTCCCCACAACACAAAAGCTTCCCCACAATACAAAGAGGCCTCTGCGGAGGAGAGAGAGACTGTTCACAGTCCTCTATTTTTCCGTAAGATCGTCGAGATCGAGCGCTCTGCGTTACGGGCTGCCATCTTGCAAATAGGGGACTGTGAACAGTCTATCATAGGGCTTAAAGGGTTGAAAACGGATTGGAAAAGTTTTCTTTTTTTCCCATAGTCCGTCTGCTTTTCAAACAAGGCAGTTTATGTCTAAGGCTTTTAGTTGTTCACACAGCATCCCGGGACAAATCTTAGACTACCTGAAAAAGTTTGACCGAACACTTCGTTCATACGAAACCGTTAATTCAGTATTTTCTTTCTGTTAAGCATTTAGAGCCGGAACTGACGAACCAGCCTGAAATTTTACTTTTGCCAGAAAAGTTTTACCATCTGTCCATGCGCAGAGCCAGTTAGCAAATGCAAAATGGTGTCTCCCAACTTAATTACCCCACGCAGCCACGCCTTTGTGCTACAAAAATGTTTTTTTTTTTTCCACCGGCGCTAACGGCTAAAAACTTGTCCTCGATTTTTTGCCATTAACTCTTTTAACGACTAGGCGTGATTTTCTGACTGTTTAATATTTTTCAGTATTGTGCTTTGCCCTCCGATCACAAGCCTCAGCGTTCCGGAAGTTAAAAAATTCGTAGCGTCTGGTTACTATGTAGTGACTTGATAAGCCAGTTGAGTACCTATCATCGTAACACTTTTGCGGTCAATTACCGCAGCGCTCGTAATGTACTTTAATTAAAATCGTGTTCAAATCCCTGTGGAGGAAGTCTGTTTATTTTTGAGTTGATAAATGCACTTCTGACATTTTGCATAAATTATCAAAAATGTTGTTAAGCGGGAAATCTACATACGGTTCGCGGGAAACGGAACTCTATAGAGGCACAAGACGAGTGTTTTGAGATTCGAGGATGTGCTTACAAACCATTTACTATATCTACGCGACGAAAGGAGAAATCACTGGCATGATAGCTCGTGCAATGGTAATTTTATCAATCAATGTTCGCTCCAGAACGCTGCGACAACCTCGTTCTCGGTACATGTACGTACTTCCAAAACATGTTAGTTTCTCAAACCATTCGATTCCTACACCCTATTCTTTGTCTGAAGATTCTAGCAAACAAACAAGTAAATCTGGATCGAAGATGAAATTGTCTCCGTAAACGCGACCAGATTATATTCTGCAGGATGGCGGCACAATTCGACGTGTCTTTCAGGTCAGCCCTAATTTGTAGTTTGTAAGAGTATAACAATTGCGATCTTCCTATTTTCGCTTAAGCTTTCTTTGATTAAACTTTCATAGGAACAAAACAACGTAGACATTCTCCTGCATAACCAGTGACTTAGTCGGCTGGAGGAAATATCTGCTTCCAAGTCGGGTAAATGTATATTTATCCCATCTTGCACACCTCAAACTCAGTCGCAGATATCCTGTTACACCATTATGCCTCAGCGCTTCTAGGATATATAACACGTTATAACATTTGCACCCGTAGAAAGAAAGATATCCTATCTTTTCGTCGTATTAAATCAACATAAATGTACCACACAGCACCGAACTACAACAAGGGGATTACTAACGAACTCGGGTAATATTGAACTATAGATATTTAATCGTTTTTGCGTGTGTTGGCAATGAGATCGACCGCAGACTTAAATATGTTTCTTTTTAGATGGCACTGAATTATTTTTTCCAAAACCAAAGCCGTACATTTTGTTAGATACCGCGCTTTTGATTAATTACATTTCTCGCCCTGAGATGATGACATGATTGCGTGAAAATTGACGCCTCTATCATATTAAATGCGAAATACGATCAGAGCTTAATGGAATAGGGAATGTTGCAAGCTACTGGGTATCCAGCTGCGATAGCTGACTTTTACTCAGCTATCTCCGGGGGGGGGACAGTAGAGGGGAGGGGGGAGCATCGCCAATTGGGAAAAATGAGTTTAAGTTAAGATTGTTTATGCTTTTGACATTAAGCTCATTATATCTACAATTTTCATTTATAAATTAAACAGGAGATCTATGTTAAAGATTTTTTTGGACCTTACTCAGTGGGGAGCTAAAGTAGCCATCGTTCATAAAATAAGAGAGTAATAAATGTTTGCTCGTTTATTTGTTTTTGTAGTTCCATTGGAGGGGGGAGCTGTTTAGTGAATACAGTCGACGAACCTCTATATGTGACCACCCTCCCCCCCTCCATAAGCGATCATCTATTCAAAACATCTATTCAAAACTCCAAAGTTTTTCCAGTCAAATCCTGTACGCTACCTCGTCTTAAATTTAACCTCTTGTAAGCGACCATTTACTGCGTGCTCGGCTGATCTCTATGTTCGCTGTGTGCAGGCTATATTTAACTATTATTAAAAACTGAATGCTCTGTCTGGGCTTAGCTATTTATGGTATATGAGCCATTAGTAAAATCCAACTAGTGGTCTATTACCAATGCTGCGTTCTGATTGGTTGAGCTTCTACTAGGCTATATGTTATAGCCCACTAGTAGCGAAAAGCGCGGGCTTTGAAAACCAAAACAATAGCGGCTGAATCGGGGTTTGCTAGCTAAAGTTGTTTTGCCTTGATATTCTTGACCAGCTAGTTGGATTTACTAAAACAATTATTCCTCTCACCCTCATGGCCTCTGAGTCAATAGCCCACTCGGGCTCCGGTGAGGAATAATTGTTAATTATAACATGCTCTCCGAATATGGTAACTGTACGCGTCTGCTCAAAATTAAAAACAAGCTGAAAATTGGTTGTTTCAATAGATGATAAAGAAATTCGGGACGAGTTCTCGATATTTCGTGGTGTTTTTAATAAAACAATTATTCCACTCGCGCTTGTTGGATATGAGATGATTATAGCCAACTATCCAACGCGCACTCTAGGAATAATTGTTACTAATATAAGGCCAACTCCTAGCACCAACATGGAACTACTCATATTGCAACTTAGAAATTGCATGCAATGAATAATCTTCCACAAAGTAGATGTGTCCGGGTCTCTTCTCGGAAGAGACCCTTTGCGGTTAGGTTCTTGAAAACGATCCTCCCGTAAGCGACCACTAAGTTCTTCGAATTTTGGGTGATCGTTCACGGGTGGTTCGACTATAGGTTATCTGCAGGTTTCTTACATTCTCATGAATACAAAATATTAGACAAAACATTGAAACTACCAATTATAAAAATTAAAAAGTAGTTGAAGTAAGGGAAGCTAAGACTTGATACAAGCAAAACATCGAAACATATATATCTTCATTGATTAATATCTGAACTGAGTATGGTGGTTTAGCTTTGACCTTTTGTTACAAGTAACACCAGCTATAAAAACTGAAGTTTTAATTTTAACTCTTACTTTTGAATGCCTTAAACGGGCTTAATCGTATAATATTTTGGATTAGTTGGGTAACTCTATAATTTGGACAAATCCATCATCCTTTGCATTCCCTCCAGTAGCGCCAGAACAACTCGCACCACCACAATACGAACCCCCTCCCCCTCCAGCCTGGTTTGGATGAGTACCACTTCCTCCCCCAGAGTATCCCCCTCCTCCACCAGAAGCGCCGTTATCCTCAGACCCACCTCCCCCTCCACCAAAACCTCCTACCGCCCCAGGGTGTGGCCCTCTATTAGAACCACTATTCATTCCACCGGCTCTCCCTCCCACCCAGCCCTGGACTCGCGACCGACCTCTTTCACCATGAGATGTGCCAGCTCTAACGCATCCCTGACGTAACCACCCTGCACCCACTCCCCCATGATAGCTAGCACCCACAGAATTACACTCACCGGGGTTTCCTCCAACTCCTCCTCTTCGAACCTGAGAAGATTTATTTCCCACACTACTGGCACCACTGGAACCCGCCTGACCATGTACCCCGTTGTATCCTGCAGACGCACCCCCTCCCCCTCCGGCAGCTAATAACAGTGCATTAGCTGATGTATAAACAAAACTTCCTCCCCCACCCCCTGTCCCAGCATTGTCCTCTACAGATAGCCCCAGTTCAGCTGCCGTTCTGTTAGTCGATTGTCCTCCTTTAACCTCTACTGAATTTCCTCCTCTTTGTCCTACTACAATGTTCATCACAGTTCCATTATTCAATCTGAATGTCCCCTTCTTGAATGCGCCCATGCCGCCGTAGAAAGTTCCAGGATAGCCTCCATAATTAGTGGAATGTGTTCCTCCACGAGCCCCCCACGCTTTAATCAAATAGCGAGCGGTTGTCGGGACTCTCAGCATCTGAATGCTACCCTGCCGTCCTTTGCGTCCATTTGTTGTAAAGTTATAAAGTTGTAGCACTGAAAAATAATCATTGAACTTTACAAGTTTATATATATTAGCCAAGTTAACGTGGGAATTCAACAGCTATACAACCCATACTAGTGGACACACCTAATTGCAATAACGTTGGAAAAAGCCAAATAGGAATTTATGAGGTTCATTAAACCCATTCTCAGGGTGTATTCCTTTTTTCCAACAGGCAAAAACGACGTCCATGTGCGGATGCTGCAAATGGATTCATTACTATTCTTTTAAGCCGAATTAATTCCTATTTGGCCTTTGCTTTTTTCATTTTTCTATGGCACCTTTTTTGCAATTGGCTGTATATATAGAAAAAGAGTGTTATCCCTTTCCATAGCAACTATTGTCGAAGTAAACAACAATTGTTTATTAGCCAAATATTCTTTGTTTTTGAATGGTGAGAGGGAACTTGGTAATTCTGAGCCCACTCTACTACATCGTACAGAACAGTGATGAGGGCTCAGAATGGTCGCCAGTCTCTTTTTCGGCATTTATTTGAAACCGTTCTTAGAGTGTCTCCATGGGGTTTGCCGTCAGCCGTCACGTGCGCATACGGCCTGAAATCTAGCCGTTTGAGCCGTCGAAAAAGGTAATGTTTTTACCGTCAACGGTCAAAAAGATTTAACGAGTATTTCAAATGTCACTATTTCAGCTGATCTTCACGGACGTCTGGCTCTTGAAAAATGTCCAAAAACGAGTTCCCATGTTCTCAAAACCACTCTCTCTAGATCTTACACTGACAAGACCTTATTACTTGCTTACTGAAATTTTTTTAGAAATTTTATTGTTGGTTTTTACATGACGTCACGAAAATGCAAACTAAAAAACTGTCGACCCTACCGAGATTTTACTTTCACGGTGCATTAGAGCAGCTGAAAAATAATTTTCATACAAATTTTCGCTTCAAAAGGGTTCTTGGTTTTGTGATAGAGTACGCTTGAATTTCTAAGTTTTAGGTGACGCGGCATTCACATGACGGCCAAGAGAGCTGTCATGTAGGTTTAATTTCAGGAAATTTTGCCATCCAACAGTTCATGTATTAGAAAAAGAGTTACTTTAGTGTTTATGAGCTTCTCGAAAAATAAATTCACGCTTTTGTAGCAAAACTCGGTAACAGATGTTTCTGTTGGTTTCCGTCCGCCATGTTGGAGCTCATCCAGGTGAGCACCAACATGGCGTCTCCATACAAATCTCTATAAGTTTGGTTAAAACGTTTCTTCGGATATCTCGTATACGAAAAATTCCTCTGACCTGAATCTTGGCTAGGGTCTTTGTATATGTACCTCCTTTCATTTCCCAGATTCTGGACTTTATCTATTGAACGGTTTTGATTTTTATTTTGATCTATTTAGAATGGCACGACACTGAAAACCAGCAATAAGTGAAAGAGCCTCCAATACACAACAGTTACTGTTAATCTATACAGAACTTATTATTTTCTTAAACTCTTGGATTAAGTTTCCACTCTATAACCGTCAACCGTAAGAAGCCCTAAAATTTAACAGTGAACCGTCCAAATTGGGAAACATTGAGACCCTCTCATCTTACCGTGACATGTGTTCCCATTTCCCCCATAACCAGCTTTACATGAACACGTGTGTGAGCCCACGGTATTTTGACAAACAGCGTTGACGTCACAGGTATGAGAATTAGTAGTGCACTCATTTATGTCTGAAAATAAACAATTGTTTGTAAATATAAAAGTATTTTGCAACACACATGGTCAAAATTGACGACGCCATTATTTCACCTTTATGCTACGCATTTTTTCGCATGCGAAAGGACATTGCAAGTATGTTGTTAGCATCAACGATTATTACAGCGAAAATAAATAGTTCACCGCAAGGTAAAATTTTCCAAAGTATGGCTCAAGCTTCCTACCACACAAGCCTTCACAAACCTTTGCAAGTTTTGCCGTTTCCAGAAAAACCAACTTTGCATCTGCAGCTATAAGACCCAAGAGCATTCGAGCATTGAGCATTGACGTCACATATGGGAGAAGAGGCAGTACATTCGTCGATATCTGGGTAAAAAAAAGAGCAACACACGCACAAGTATACCCCCCTCAATAAACTTTTTTTAAAGTGCTACTACGATCAAAATTTAATGTCAAGTTTGTCACAAAAACGCTTTCTTTTCAGCTTATCAGAAGTGGCTGTACCTGTTTCGGTCATTGAAATGAACTTTGGCGCCCTCTAAGTGAAAATATTGAGCTTGAAAATGTAGGTTTTTCGCGTCCGTCATTACAGATTTATGTTCCAGTCACAACGCTATTGTTCTCTGATTGTGACGTCATTTTCTGAACACGCCAGGAAAACAAACCTGAACCGTGAGAAAACAGCGAGCGATTCTCAAAGCTTGGCTCGTCTTCGCCCGATTCTGGAATTGTGAAGGAGGAAATCGTAGATTACGATGACTCTGTAGAACCAGCACCGACTGAATATGAGAAAGTCAAATACTAAGGGCAGCTAGCCTCAGAGAAGGAAAAAAAAACACACTTCACCAAGTCGTATTTTATGCAGTTTGTGCCGACGGAGATTCGAACTACTGGTAGGTGTATTTGTATACGTACTAGCTATAATAATAATACACAGGCAAGACGATCGAGAGTCCGCACCAATTTCACCTGCCTTCTAGCCACGCTCGAGTGCTCATTTATCCAAGTGTAGATAAAGTTTTGCTTTATAGCTCTTCAGGCACAGCGAATCAGAGTGGGTACAGTTTTCAGTTCGGCTGTTAAAGTTTCAGTTCTAAAGCAGCCAGCTCGTTGTCATATGCATGTGTTTTTTTTTTACCATCTTAAACGGACTGCTGTCCTTTATTATTGAAAATTTAATTGTTACTTTAGTGTTGCGTATATGAGCTGAAGATTTTAAAATTAGATCTAATGTTAAGTTCTCTTTGTCAGAAAAGTTAATTTACTCATTTTCAATATAAATAGATAAATAAGGGGATCGGTCGCTCTTGATTTGGTATATCAATTTAATAATTTTCAGTGCTGACATTAAAGCCTGTCACATTCTTTGTAGCTCATGTTCTTTTGAAAAGGCTGTGTCTGCCTATGCCTTCCCTGTCGATTGACTGCAGGTCATTATTGCAACTTATAAATTGCAACGCTAATAAAAATTCAGAGATTTTACTTCATCCAACTATTGTCAATGATATCCCCTTGTATTCCCATAACTTTTATAGATAACTTTATGAAATTGTTGTATGTGACGTTTTTTTTTTTTAATTTATTTATTATTCAAACCCAGGTGTGCATTTTTTGGATGCTCTCTTTACTGGGACCAGCTTTGAAGCTTTGGCTAGACAAGAAAATATATACAGTGGAAAGGTTAATACAGACGTGTTTAATATGATGTCTATATTATCTGGGTGTCCGTATTATCTGGGTGTCCATATTAAGTTAACTCTCTGGAAAAAGTCACAGACACGTGATTTATTTGATATATAGCATAAAGGAACAAGGAGGAAGAAGGGTAGGAACAATGACTGTAGCAAAAAGCCAAGGACGTGAAACTTGTTGAGTAGGAGGCAGAAAATTTATCAAAGGACTACAAACAGGGGAAGAAAGAAAGATGTTTTGGTAATAAAATCTTATTAACCCGTGAACTTGGTACAATGTCTACAATTGGTACATCATTGTGACAAGAAAAATAGAAAGTGCCTGGGCAACCAGTGTCTGTAAAGCTGGATTAAGAATATATAGGAATTTCTGACTTGAAACACAGCAAAGTGGTTGTTGTCCACATTAACTACTGTGCTAACTAGTGAGAGAGTAAATTTGGCTGTTCTCTCTTTGTGGCTGTTTACGACTGTCAGATTACTGAACCTTTCTTGAGTCATTGTTGAGCAGAGTCATGTTCATAAATTTCAAGCCGCTGAAAAGTACCTTTCTCCTGCTGAGCGTGATTGTACATGCTGAATCCACCACTAGAAGCTAAGTTTGCAGATCATGATATTACACTGTAGGTTCCTGTAATGCCTTCATTTTGTCTAGCATGTCATTGAAATGTGCCTGAGACCACATCATCAGCTGATATAATTCGTTTTAAGAAACCGTAGTTCATGGAGTAGTCTTCAGATTTAATCAAGAACCTTCATCAAAAAAGACTATTCCGCATTGTTGCAAATGCTACATAGCTTTGCTGGTTTGAAAATGCAGAAATCTAGGATGATTGACTTTTTGAGGCTTACCACGCATCAGACTAATGGGATCAAAACGGACCAATAATAAATTTAGATGCTGGAAGATTCTTATTCCAACAAAGATACTATTCATATGAAAATGTATATTACAATGGAACCTCTATAACGAAGTCCTCGGCCTAACAAACTATTTTTTTTTTACTCCAGTAATAGTAAAATATAAGGCAATATGAAAAGGAACCTCGATAAAAGTTAACAAACCTCGTTATAATAAGCATATTTTGCCAGTCCCTTGGCCCTTCGTTATATCAAGGTTCCACTGTACTTAATTTTATTTATTTATTTTTCAAAAAGTGGGGAAGCCCCTTTGTCCTGCGTGGGCCCTGCCCTAGCTTGGCTCAGGCTATATAATGCCCCCAAAATAGACTATGCTAAATCAGGCAACAAAGAACAATAAAATTGCAGCCTTTAAACAGTATTACAGCCCTTGGCTTGTTTATTGTAATCACTGGTATGACTGAAAAATAATGGATTTGTATATTGCACACGGTACGTAAGACCTAAACTTGTCCTCCAGGTTCTTAGCTGGGGCCTCACAGTTATCTTGTGATCAACAAGTGTGCAGATCAATTGTTACAGTAGGGTGGACAGTGTCTTTGTATGTGGTAAGGGGCCATGAAGCTTCCTCATTTATAGGAATAACATTAGTCTATCCCATATTAAAAGATACACCAAGCTTTTTGAAGTACCAAGGCTGTGCTCTAAGAAAAATTGAAAGGAGCCCAGTGCTCCGGACCCGTGAAATCCTGGGTGCACAGCACATGATTTCTATGAAAAAAATTCCTAGTTGCCCCGCAACAATAGTTAAGCACCACGGGCCATGGGTGCTGGTAGAGCACAACCTTGAGTAGTGAAACATAAAGCAGCAGTGATGAGCAGGGGCCATGAAACTATCTCATACATGTACATAACCCTCACTTGCAGTAAATATTTCAGTGACCAAGCCTTGGTGATTATTCATTTTTAACTTGTAATCTGTCAGTCACATCACTTCAGTGATTCAGTGCATGAGTGCCCCTGTGTTGGAGTTTACATCTCAAATTATGATATACTACAATTATAATTATTATAAGTATTCAATGCGAGATTGCAAAACTTTTCGTTATTCACTCAAAAGAATAACAATACACAACATCCAAGATGGGAGCACAATTTTATTTTAAAGACCACATCAGTAAATGGTAATAATTCTTGCTGTATTTTACAAAATTGCAAAAACAGTTCTTGCAATAAACTTGTGTGGGTTCTCTTGCTTTAGCTTGTGGTTTGAACTGACAATGTGTCTTTGCAGTTTAAATCAGGCTCTGAGTTTTGGGAGGACTAAAATTGAAAAAAAGCATACCTTTTGTTTAGTGAGGGTTATGGCGACCAGAATGTTGGAAATACTAAGGAATTTACTGTATATTAAAATATCATACCATTCAGATTGCACCATGATCCTGATAGATTTTAATATTTTATAATAAAAATTAACAAATAGAGCCTTAAAGCTTTTTATAAAAGCTCAAAGGAATGTTAATAGTGGTAACAGAAAAAATAGTACACCATAAGAGCAAGGTGTGAGCAATAATAGTGTTTACAAAACTAGAGGGCTCTCTGTGATCTGTTGCCTTAGGGCAAATCTTTTTGAAAGTTTGCTAAAAGTTTCGTAGTCGTCCCGTTCCAGTCGAAGAAAGGTCTAAGAAAAAATTTATCTTCGATGACTTCGCCAGTAGTAAAAGCAAAAATCACCACCGGCGATATAAATAAACTTAGCGTTGGGGACATTCACTGCAAGTTTTGCGAACTGTAAGCTTACCTCCATGCGCTCTCTCTTTATGCGAAGATTTCTTTCCGGATTCAAGATCTGTCGATTGATCCTTCTTCCATAGCAAACGATCCAAGTTTAATTTGCCGCCACTGGTTTCCGCTGAAAGCCCCGTAAATGCTATTGCAGCACTCTTCGAAGTTTAATATCAAACCGAGAAAACAGCGAAACTGTCAGCTGGAAACAAACCTATTCCTCGAATCTCACATTCAGTTGGTCAGACTCGCGTGCAGCTCAATTCTACGATTGAAGCGGTTGCTGCACACATACGGAGTCTAATGTAGTAAGATCGAAAGAGTCTTCCTAAACAAGAACGCATCGAAGTGGGAGGAAAGGGAACATTGTTGAGCAGGGTTCTTGGAAGAAAAAATTCTCATGCTGTGTGTACTGCGTTAAGTAAATGACGTCACAAAGCAATTGCCTTGAGTTCTTGGTAACCAGGCCACAGGAACATAGCGTTTAAATGGCGGACGAAAATTAATGGTTTTTGAGCGCCAAAAAATACCACTTTCCTTAATCGTATGAAGCTATAATTTGCACACCATGTACTTCAAGTACTAAACTGCCAATCTAGCCAAAAAATATGGTAGTCAAAGATTTGATCGTAGTAGCACTTTAAACACTTTAGCACGCGAAATAAATAATATCTTTACAGCATAAACAAATCTTGAGTCAGGTGTGGGGTTAACAGTACAGAGACAACTGGGTTATGGAAGATCATAAAAGAGAGAAAAAAAGAGAGATACAACAAGGAATGGCTGCATATGAAAAGCTATTGCATGTAGCAAAGACAAATGAGTTCTCCTGATAAGTTGGCAATGATACTGGCAGTTTTGTGTGAGAAAGATTCAATGGCTTTGTTGTGACCGACATTGACGCAGGCATTGACGCTATCTCAGTTAAATCGCCTGTGGTGCACTCCTGGATGATCTCATGCTGGTTGATATTTTAAGAGTTCTTGATAACACTCAACTGGTTAGTAACTTCCAGCCCCGGGCTTCCAGCTCCTTTACGGAAGAGAATGAGCATGCTCTTATTCAGAAGTCTAACAAGAAATCTTGCACTCTCTCGACTCAATGCCGAAATCATAATTGGTCAGGTCCCTGGATATGCTGTTGCCTGTTACTACCCGTATCATGCATCAACTAAGTCAATTACGTCTGGTCTGTTCTTGGAAAAAAGGAAGAAAGGATTTGTCAAGCGTAATGGCTTAAGTCATGTGAATTCTGCAACCTACTTGACTTGTCAGCAACCTTCAATTTGTGTAAAAACTGACTGAGCCGGATTTGTTTGATGAAAAACAGAACCACATGATGAATTTTGGCTTCTATCCAACCTTTGCCGTCATCGGTTACCGCTAAGGTTATAATATGGAAACCGCCTTACTCAAGGACCAAAATGACATGTTACTTAAATAAATAAATAAATAAATAAGTAAACAAATAAGAAATTAAATAAGAAAATGCAATCCCCAAATGATAATTAATGATAGTCAAGATATAATTAATTCGGGGTCGAAGCAAAAAAAATTGGGGATCATTTCGGAGTCGATATATCATTTCTCAGGCTATATAATTATATTACCTTCAGTCTTCATATCGCAATAAGCGAGCAAAGGGATACCAGGTTTAATGGTACTCAGCCAGTACTTCTTGCTCTTTGCCTCCCCTTCACTTTCTTTGATTTCTTTACATGTTTCAGCTGGAAGCTCAGGAGTGGATCCAAGAGGAACTAAAGAGTAAAATGTTCCATTTAATTATATAATGATTATTCTGAAATTAAATTGTCAGCATCGAATCGATGATAATTGGTAGAAACATTTGAGACATCAATAATATGCACGTTTGGTGAAGTTTTTTCAAAGAATTCTATAGCGCCCTTCCTCAAATTTATTTAATATACACGCACAAACGATCTTGAAAATAATCAATAATTAGCGACCAGTGGCATCTATTCGCCCTAGCAAATATTTTTGACCAAGTTATCTGGCGATGTACCCAGGGTAAACGAAAATTGTCGGCTATCTAGACGACCATTGAATGAAGAAACTGGTCCGTTCGAGGGAACTGCACTTGTTCTTAGGCGAGGTAATTCTAGAATAAAGATTTAGCCAAGGCAAAAAACGAAGCTCTCGTAAATAAAGTTATAATTTACTCAAACGAAAAAAAAAAAATGCTAAAAATAAAATAAAGAAATAAACTTGAAACCACTATGAAGAAATTTTTTTCAATTCTGTGCTTAATATTTGATACAGTGGAAGGACTGGGTGATTTACGGGAAAAATAATCTGCAAACAAACCTTGAGCCATTCTTACATAAACTATTAAAATGTCAAGTGTGTGAAATGTTATTGCGTATTTATCAAAAATAATATAATGCTAAACGGCGAAGACAACGAGAAGAGCAAAAAATTAATTGGATTTAGTAGCAAAACAACAACTATGCACGTGCAGCATAATTATACTTCCTTCTACATTTCTTTGCCGTTGTTACACGTTTTATGGAGGAAATGTCGTATGTGTTCACAAATAGTTTTTTTCTTAATTTTCTTTTTTCTTCACTGCTGCTCATTTTCACCTTACTGGTCGCTAGCATTTCTCATTTTCTCACCGCCACTACATAATTTTCATCCTGTTCTTTCAACGAAATTCGTCTTCTTTGTTTTTTATCTCTCGCTCTAGCTCTTTCTCTGTTATCCACGTCAGTGTAGACATAATTAAGATTTAGTCAGAAAAAAAAGGACTCGGCTTAAGTTTGTTGTCGTTTTCTCTCTAACAGTCCGGGTGGCCATGGGATTTACTGAAGTGCTGCCAAAACGCGGGGTTGCTTGAATGAAAACTTCATTCCGGCTTACATGTAGGGGGCAGACAGACGTGTTTTCACACGTTTACCAAATCTCTCGCATCTATGGGTTACCATTTTTTCTTACGCATGGTGCTCCACTATAAAAACCATGAATGATCATAATGTGAGAGACGAAGTAGACGACTGACCGGAGTATCTTATCGCGGGACAGCAGCAGCGGCACCGATTTTTAACAAAGTAGAAAACTACAAAACAATGAGGAGAAGTTACTAAGTCTAAAAGTAAACACACAAATTTTTCTTTCAGAACAACCTGCCAAATAAGGTGGTTTCTTGGTGTTGCGGATTGGTGCAATCACTAAACGACGTAATACTATAGAAAAGAATTATTAGACACTACCCACAGAAGCGAACCAACAATGGTTTCCGCGACACTGAAGAAACACCCAATAATAAGGATGCCGATAATTAATTTTCGTTACAAGGTCTCAATCGCGCAAAATGTTGTCATATTTTCTGGCTGGACATGAAAGTTTCGAGCATACATAGTACCTCTTTCATAAAACGCACAGCTTTTTTTGTCGTGTGTTATTGATCAGTTAAGTTGTCAATTTTTCTAACAAATTAACATAAATATTTCCTGGAAATGATGACTGAAATTTAGATGTCTCCGGGTATGATGCCACGAAAATTGCACTGGGGCACCTTAAAAATTCTTTCAATACTGAGAGATCTTAACTAACATAAACTTCACCTCGATTCATGTCTCGCCTGTAGTAATATCTGTCTGGATCGGGAACAAAATCCTCAGGTCTGGCTTCTTTGGTTCTGTCGCTGAACTCACACATATTAAGAGAGATCACCCAATTGAAACTTTGGCACCTGGTTTCCTGACGACAAATAAGTACGAACTCATATCCAAAGTTTGCCTTTAGCGTCTTGTAGACGTGGTTTTGCAGCCTCCAGCCAGAGATGGATTTCTCTGACCCACCATTGATGCATTGTTGAGAGAGTGTTTCAGTGAATGTTTGACTCAGCATAAAAAGGAATGCAATACTAATGGTGTAACTCGCCGTCATTTTGACAGAACTGAAAAAAAAAAATTTCATGAATAGTAGCTACATTCTAAGCAAATAATTAATACGGATGGTACGTCCATCTATCTGACCGATGACAATAACCTAGCTAGTAAGACTCAAGTAATAACCTAGCCATTTCTCTTTTGATGACGATTTTTGCGCTTTTGGTCCAAAGCTAAGCCAAGGACTCATGATCAAATTTTCTATATTAGCGATCCATTTTATTAATCCGACAAATTTGTGAAACCTCTTCCAAAAACACTTTCACATGGTGCCATTTACTTAAACATATGCAGTAACATTTTTAACTTTGGAGTCGGTGTGAATGAAATCAGCTGAAATCCTAGGTGGTAACTATATACAAATGAGACATTTTCTGTGGGAATTCCACATGTTTCTATTTATTAATCTCACCGCATGGTAGTTTCTAATGACTAATTAGAAGTGGCTATAATGAAACCCGCTCCTCAGTTATTATTATTATTATTATTATTATTATTATTATTATTATTATTATTATTGTTATTATTATTATCATTATTATTAGCATACTATTTCATCAGAAAATTTTAGAAAAGGTAATGTATCAAGTCATTCTCGAAGTTTTTTTTAAATTGGCCATGGAGTTAATTAGTTGATTTTACAAACTGGATTGCTGGGCTTGCAAATCTTGGCAGCATCCATATGCATCTCACTCTTTGGAACAATTTTAGTGGCCACTTGGTGAATAAAGCCACGTATAATTTCTTCAATGCTTTCTCAGGTTTTGAAATTGTTTAACTTGTTAATGACTGCAGCATCAATTATTCAAAACCTAATTTTCTCTAAAATTTGATTGGAAGTCATTAACGCTTCTGCACTCAAAGATTGAATTTCCTCTTTCGTTTTCTGCATCGTGTTGCAGTCTTAGAAAGTTAAACACAAAAACAAGTGGGAAACGGTTTTGAAAAAAAAAAAATAGAAAATGTGTCAAGGTGAGTTAGAGGCCTGCATCTCTTTTTGAAGAAAACATTTCGGAAAAAAGTCGCTGAGAATTTCAACGTTTAAATAATATTTATATTTCCGTTTCTAAAACGTACAAAAAAGTTTGATTTCTTTAGCTGGACGCGATACGTTGTCCATCTTCAAAATACTTCACGAATTAGCATTTCAAACAAATCGAATTATGCATCTATATTTTGCAAATTTTCGTCACATAAACCCCATGTTCACATATAACGGCTTTGCTCTTAACTGAAGGGTTTCGATGAATGTACTCAGCCCCAAAATGTTGGGCTCTGCGATTTCGAAACTCAAATTCAATAAAATAGCTGTTGTAACGAAGCAGGATAAATCGTCTAGTTCATGAAAAATATTCTCAAAGGGTAGCGGAATATTTAGAATAGTCTTTCTTGGTAATTTTTGGATATAACTTGCCGACTGCTTTTATAGACAGCCCTAAGGGAGTACGGCTGTAAATTAAAGGATGTGGCGGAAACTCGACTCGTTTTACGAAGTTGGTGACTTTGTACTGTTTGTAATTGCGGGTTTAATAGCGCGACTATTTTTGTGAGTTATTTTCCTTTCTCTCTTCAAAATAATCGTGACCAACGATTCTTGAAATTGTTACTTGAAACCTGAACCAAAATATATACTTAGCAAGCTTGCAGTTCATTTTATGAAACTCAATGTTGGGTATCAGTAGTTTTATTCAGTTCCTGCTTCAAAATTTAACTTTGAATAAATATTCGGCTCTCGCAAACGAGTGCTATCTAAAAAGGAAGGGTTGTTTGGTTTGGTTTGGTTTGGTTTGGTTGGTTTGTGAAAAGCTTGAAGGCGGCGATGTCGGTTGACCAAACAATACAATAGGCCATTTACGATTCCAAAAGCTCTCACTTTCTGAAAAAAGGTTAAGTACAAACCCTTTGAGAAAATTTTTTAACTTAAGAACTAGGATACTCTTAAAACTAAGAACTTTTAATTTCGATCCCAACTGAAATCTTGACTGTCTTGTTCATTTCTGCACCGGCAGGTGTCTTATACAGCGCATAGATCGAAGATAAGACGCAGGCGGCCCAAACTCTGAGGGAGTTCGTTGAGACTTTATAAGAGAACTAGGGGTATCAAAATGATCAAAATACGTCCTAAATTCCAAATAGAAATAAAAATGACGCACCTTGTGTTTTTGTTTTTGTTTTTTATTTTTGCTGTTTCTTCACTTCTAAAACCATTTGGAAGCCGTTTTATCGACGTTTAAGATTTTGAATTGTACTTAATTACCAAATTGGTGAATAGCACTTTTCCGCGCGTTTTGATTGGCTCCCGTAACTCGGAATATCCTTTGCTATTCACTGTTTTGCGACCGGAGCCAAGATGGCGTCTCGCTTCGAGACATTTTCGGAACACGAAATTTAAATGATAAATGAATCAGTCGTACAAACAAATACCAAGAAAGCGACTAACTTTGGCTTGTCGGTGTTTACCGGTAGGTAGAAATTATTTTCATGCTGAATTTGCAACAAAAGCGTAAAAATGCACTTGAAAAAATATCGTAAATGTTTGTGAATTGTAGATATAGTTCCTTAACTAAGTGACGTTTTTAATTTGCAAAAAGTTACTTTTTTCATTTTTATCCAACTGATTTGGTAAATACTAAACTGAACAAATATCGCCCTTTCAGTGTCGGTGAACGCACTAAATAATACTACCAGCACTATTCACCTCCCCTTAGATAGTTGTATAATATTTCAACGGCTATCTTGTGAACGAACTTAATTGCGTGTGGGTGTGGTCACTTGAAATCTTTAAAATTCAGCAGTCTTTTGCAAAGTTCAGGAACCAATAGGTCCCTCTATAGACTCTGTTTCTGGGAGCAAAATCATCAGGCAAATTTGTAAAACCTCTTTAGCGATACTTTTACATGGTGCTATTTACTTAATATGTAGGTCTAACTTTTGAGTCTGCATGCAAACGAAACCTCTTTAGCAGTACTTTCAAATGGTGCTATTTATTTAGTATGTAGTTCTAACTTTTGTGTCTGTGTATGGAATCCTATGATGTTACCATTCAATTGAAACCTCTTCAGCAGAACTTTCACGTGGTGCTATTTACTTAATTTGTAGGTCTAACTTTTGAGACTCGCTATGGATCAAATCCTATGGTCCGTGATACTATTCCGATGCGCCACCTTTACACATGGTTTTATTTCATTAATCAAATATGGTTTCCAACCTTTGTGTTTGCTATACAAAATACTGTGGTTCATGAAACCTGCTCCTCAGTTAATTTATTTTTATTTTATTTTATTTTTTAGCTGGTCCTTACTCACCAGAATTTTGTAGGAAACTGTAAAGTACCAAGTCTTCCTTGAAGTTTTATTTTATGAGTTAGTTGGTTTCAGAAACTGGATTGCTGGGCTTGCGAAGTTTGGCAGCGTCGCTCTCACTCTATGGAAGAATAATGACCAATAATAATTTTAGTGGCCACTTTTGAATGAAGCCATGCCACGTAGAATCTCTTCAAGTCTTTTTGTTTTGACATTGCTAATTTAGCTTGTTTATGTCTGCAGCATCAATTATTCAAAACTTTGTCTCTAAATCTTTAACGCCCCTGCACTTAAAAATGGAAGATGTCTTCTTAAAAAAATACTTCCAGAGAGAAAAACAAGTTGAGTTAGAGGCTTGCATATCTTTGGAATTAGAGGCTAAGAATGCACGTTAGCATTTGATAAGAATTTTAACAGTCGATAATAATCACCTTCATGTTTTAAAATTCATTTATTCGTGGCATAAAGGCCTGCAGTATACCTGGAGTATTTAATGAGATGTTTCAATATGGCAGTAATATAAATGGATACGACACCACATATGCAGCTAAACAGAATCTTTATAAGTTTGGAGTGCGAACTAATGTAGTAAAACAATCACTCTCTTTCATCGCTAGAGATATTTGGAAAGACCATCCCTCTACAATAAAAGACTCAAGCACTTTCGCATTTCCCAAATTACTCAAACATTATGTACTGTGAAGGACAGAAATAAAATTATTTATTAGCACCCCACGGAAAATTAAGGAAAACGTAAAAAAGACACAGAAGTTCTTCCTTTTCGGGCTGAGGGGTGGGTGGGGATGGGCGGGTTTGCGTGCCCTTAGTTTTTGCTTTCTGTTACTCAGTTACGCAATTATTTATTCATCTAATTTATTAATTTATTTATCTATTCCTTTTTGTTCTGTTTTCACCTGCTTACAAACCGACTTTAATTGGGTGGGGAGCAAACGAGAAAACCATATAGTTTATTTAGCTTCCCAGCTCGCACATTTTATTTCTCTCATATTTTAAAGTTACATCTTATTACGTATGTAGCACCAATTTCAGTTATGTGAAGTTAAAACAGAAATGAAATATCGCCATAAGCTAAATAAATATAGAATACTTCATGGAAAGTACGTACAAAAACTTTCCGTGTGCAATTGTGTTTATTATATACATATTGAGACATGTATCATTTTGCCAGCCTTTTATTTCAAATCTTTGACAAAATCCTAAGATGGCAAAATATGCCGCTATGTATACACACCGCGAAATGACAAAGAAAACGAAGTAAGCTTATATTGTTTGTATTAAAAAAACGCTTGGTAAAAGTTATAATATGAGTAAGGACATGAAGTAGGAATTAAAAGTAATAATAACTTTTTTTCTGGATGTACAAATAAAAATGAACAATTTTGGGTGAAATAACCGGTTTAAAAATAAACAGAAGCATATAAGCTTATTAAAGCTTAGCTGAAGCTTGTCTCTGATAAAAAGTGCAAGCCTACGTCTCGTTCTGCTTTTTTCCTCTTTCGCTGTTGTTTTGTCGGCTCTCCTCAATTTTTTTCATCAATAGTGAAATATAAAAAACTATTCCAATCCAATTTCCGAGATGGGGATTAGGGGGGGGGGGTGAAGGTTCTGAATTTTTTTTCCTACACGGTAAAACATCAGCACCTGAAGTTTTCAGTAGCTGTTCGTTTATCCCTCGCGAGCATTTTGAGACAAGTTTGGTGATGGTCAGTTACTATGGTTAAGAGATATGACGTCATAAGTAGCAGGTGGTCTAGTCCTTGGATCAGTACCCATATAGAAAATTCAAATCACAGGAAATTAAAATTTCAACAGGTAAATAGGATATGTATCGACAAAAGCACAATTGTTTCTAGCAAGTTCATTTTGTCTCTTCAGTTGTGAGATTTCACACATTACTTGTTCCAGTTTTTAAAGAAAATTTTTAAAGAAACATAATTATAACTTTTTGAAAAACAAAATAAAGTTGAGAACGCTTAAAATGCGAAATTTAATGCCTTTTTTCGTTTTTTCCTTTGAAATCGCGAAAATATAACCCTGCGAAATACTGTGTTGCCAACATTGCGAAGTTAAGTACTCATAAGGCAACCGCTTTTGTTCTTAACTGGAGGGTCTCGATGGATGTACTCAGTGCAAAAAAGTTGGGCTCTGCGATTTAAAAACTCAAATTAGTAGCTGTCGTAATTAAACAGTATGGTTTACTCTCAAACTAGGTATACAAGCATATTCGTGAAAATGATATCATCAGAGGATACCGGATTATTTGGATATATAGTCTACCTTTAGTGATATTTGGATATCACTTACCCGATTTTATAAACCTTTGATGCAGAGGTCCACTCAACGCGTAAATAAAACCGACTAGTTCTTTCTTGCCGGATCTCTAATGTAGAGATGCCAATGCCAGACGCCACTTGAAGTGGGAATTAGAACAAAACTGAATGCAAGTCTGGTAATTAATGCGGCAAATGGCTGTTTTATTTGAGGCCAATATTTCGGTTACCAAAACAATCCACTCCACGCTAACGCAACAGCTACAGTCCCATCGCACTTCAACCATCCTGGCCACTCAATAACAGACATAGAACTTATTTCTTTTGAACTTCAACCTACACCCAGCATGTCACGCCGTAAAGCAAGAGAAGCTTACCTCATAAATGGAGCCGAGGGAAACTCGTACACCAGATCATGGTTTAAACCCCAAGGACGAACTTGAACTGTACGTTATCAACCACTTTATTGTATAATTAGTTACCTGTCTGGAAAGGGATGCAAAATTCTAATCAAGGTACGTGAAACGGTCACCTGATTTGTCAATAGAGGGTATGCGAAATGAGTAACTTCTCGTGAAAAATGGTGTATAAAGGGTAAGGGGTTAGACCTTGGGGTGGAGCCTCTCCGTATCTCCCCGTATATATAAACATTTGTTGAGTTAACCCCCACCACCCCCCTGAGGAAGGCTAATTTTGTTAGCCGAAATATTGAACTCAAATAAAACAGCCCTTTACCGTACTGCCAGCCCTGCATTCAGTTTTGTTCCGGTTTTATGGGCAGCACTGGGGATGGTATTTGAAACCTGAACAAAAATATTACCTTAGCTAGCAAGCTTGCAGTTCAATATCGGATGTCACTAGTTTTAATTATTCAGTTCCTGCCTCATAATTTAACTTAGAAAAAAATATTCACTCTCTCACTCTCTCGGGTCCTTGTTCCAATATAATCAAAAGCTGTAAATTAATACTTCAGAAATTATCAAAAAAGCAGGGAGCGCGGGCTCTGAAACATGTACAGTTCAGCCAAGGTAAAGGGAACCCGCTGGAATATTTTGACATGCCGTAATAAAGTGCAATGCTTAACGCAAGTTACCCTTCAATCCTCTGGGGAAAGAGCACTGTATAAGGTGCACAGCAAAAAAGTGCACTCGCCAACCATTCTGCTTCCAGTAACAAAGGGAAGTTGAGATTCAAAGCACGCAAGTTTTTTACGTGTTGGATCCATCAATCTGTTCAGAGATGGTACTGACTTAACAATGCGAGGGGGAACCAAGCAAACTCTGGGAGGAGGTATTTCAGATTGTCACCGGGTCCCAAAAGTTGTTATCTAAATTGAAGGCAAAAACAGTCACCCTTTGTTTCTTTCTTAATCCAGTGGTTTATACTAACACCGGCATCCCCTCCCTCCAAAGATTCCTCAAGTGTTGCGTTCCATTGTTTGTTTTTTCTGTTAGTGTGCCAAACGGAAAGCTTAGAGCCTTGTTGGTAAAAGGCTTTCACGTTCATGTCAACGTTTGTTTAAAGTGACACCAGTTGGATATGACCTAATAACTAAAGTGCTCAAAATGAAACCGCAGTTTATGAAGGGCATAACTTGGCCTGAAACTGAAATATTAGAATCACGAACACACATGTAAACAAAATATTTTTGACTAATTTTTTAAGTGAGAGGACGTTCTTCTTAATTTTAGGGGAGCGCTTGCATGATATGTTACTGAGTAGAGTGTGATTTGATAAACGTCATTAATTGTGTATGCAGTGTCTAAAGTACTTCTTTATATATTTATTGTTATTTTTTGATAGGAGCCTCACCTTTTGAGCTGAGGCTGAGTCAAGACCTTAAGGTTCTCATTTATGGGGTGATCTAGGTATCCTCAAAACGCCATGAAGTTCTAATTCGAGGTCCTTTTAGCTTTATATTGAAATCATAAAAATGGGCTTGGTAGGCCTGCACGAGATTGGCAAGAATCGGAGCTAGAGTGGAGACTGTCAGACATACTAACAACACCACAGCCTATATAGCCAACGAATGACAACATTTCTTTTTGTAGTTACCAGTGATATTTCTAGGTACAGCGTTTAAAACTACATACAGCTATTTCGAGGAAGGTTGTCGGAAAAAAATGTGCACGCGAGAATCCTGAAAGGTAATATGGGATACAATCAATTCACTGTTCCTGACACTATAGCTGTCGAACCTACTTTTGTTACCTTACTTTAGCACTAGCAAACATATGTCCATGGCTTCTCGTGCCATTCTCTCAAATTTCTTTGAAGAACAGTGAACTCAAAAACACCCACAATACCATCGAGATTGTCGCGTGCACTTTTTCCGACAACCTTTCTCAAAATAGCTGTATGTAAATAGACAAATGGTTTAGAAACGCCAAATTTTGCAACTAGATATCCGAAACGTTCTGCAATCACCTTTCAGCTTATAAGGTTGATCACGCATTGAAGAACATATTAAGACTTGCTCTATTTTCTTAAGTTCAGGTGTTTTAAATTAAAACACTTTACTAGCTGATTTTAATTAGAAAGGACCAAGGAGCGGCAGTAATGATCACAACACTGTGGCTATATGCCCGGCACCTGCGGGAGGGTCTTAAAAAAACTAAACGCCCGGCAGTCAGAACATTTTCTAGCATTTCTGCAAAATCCCTTTACCTGATCGTTTGAAAGTATTCTATCTTCATTTAGAATAACCAAGCGATCAGGAAAACAAAACTGCCTTCACAGCTGAGCGGTTGTAGTTTCCTTGGCATAGAGTAGAGTCGACGCTGCTTCGACACAAAGAAACTTGTGAATAGCAGCACGTGACTCACGGGTGCACTTTCACACAGGCGTCAAAAGTCGGGTTTTCGGCCGAAAAAAACTGTTGGACGCAAAAGCCGGCCCATTCGGTGGTAACGTTATCGAAAATCGGGTTAGAATATTTTGCAAAATGAGCAGCGTTGATGCCAAAGGGCCTGAAACTTCACCTGCCATTTTCAAAGATTAGCAGAATTCTTTGGAAACCAATCATTTTTTTTTTTATTTGAGTGAAAAGGAGTCATTAAGGTAGGCTTCTTAAGCCAGAGTAGCTCCAAAATCACAGTAACGAAGGCATGGAAAGGAGAAAAAAAGAAAGAGCGAGGGGTGAAGGAAAGGAGGAGAAGCAAAAAAGCAATGGTTGCACTCACTTTTATATCTCGTTTATGATGGCTACTTTTGGCCGGAAGAAACAGTTGGACGCAAAAGGCTGATTTGGCGGTAGACTACCAGTATTCCTCATATTTCCTGAAAGATAGTAGAGCAAGCGAAACGCGGGCGCGCGTGAAAATCACCTCACGCGAGAAAAGGTGAGAAGCGGAGGTGAGAGAGAAAAATGAGGGACTACAGACAAAATCCAAGCTTTTGACCTTATGCGTTGCTCTCACAACGCAAAACTCTGATTGGTTCTCCCCACTGCGTCTCGCCTTTCCTACGATAGAATTTCAGGAGGTAGCTACAGATGCCCTTCTCAGTGTTTACCGTTTAACAGTGGTTGTCAGAGAAAACCGGGCAAAATGTTAAAAATGTCAACGGAAGGGGGTCAACAGAATAAGTTCATACTAACATCACAGATAGGTCTGGTGGAGTAATGGACAAATATAATAAACATAAGCTCTTCACTGCTCTTGTATTAGAGATACGAGCATCTCTTTATTCGACCCCCTCGGACGCCATTTTTATAAGCAAATTTTCACCATTTTCTGAAACTCACAGAACCCTCAAAATTTAACGAGCGAGGTTTATTTTTCGCATGCGATACAATACATCACAGAACTACTTTCTAAAACCATAAGATTTGTTAAGCAGCCACGGACAAGACTAAAATTTTCTTATTTTATCTGACCTAAACGCAGTGTCTGCAAACGAGCAAAAAATCGGGCATTTTTGAATTGATCTACAGCGCACAACTAAAACGACAGAACAACTCTGACAGTCAAATTGCAGTCTACTATCATCCATGTAACCAAAACACTAATAATCATTTTGGGCCATTGAAACAGGAAGAAATTAGAAAACTCACATTTGTTATAGTTTCCAAGCTTTTTCTTGCAAACAGGCCGATCCCTTCGTGTTTGTTTTAAGTCCTCTTCGTGAATTTTCTTCCATATTTCGCTGTAAAGTATGTTCAGCAGCTGGAGAAAATATCAAAAAGCTCGAAATACTGCCTAGGTTACTTGTTCAAAGGGTAAAAAGTGCTGAACGATAGGATGAAACTAGAAAATAACAGAGCGACGCCATCTTGAAAATTCAGCACTCAGGAGGGACTGGCACTAGTAGCTGCGTTCGATATCTAACACGGACAAAAATTGCAAATTTTACACGAGCACATAGAAAACCAAACCTAATATAGAAATGTAACCAGAAAGCCTCGGATTCATGTTAGAATTTTTCTTTATTGAACGTGGGCTATTACGAACTATTACCAGGAGCCTATGGGCTCCTGATTACCAATAAGATAAAAAACAAAAAACAAACAAACCAGCTTATCAGCGACCTACTCCAGTCTTATTTTTTCGTCAATTACTTCTTTTAGTTGGATTTAGCTTTGGAAGAACGCCTGATTGCAGGTTAATTGGTGATTAACTGGCATTGCTTCATTCCCTCCTCATTTAGAGGTGTCCCGTGAATGTAGATAATATTAAAGATCTATTTTGTCTCTTTATGAATCACTTAACTTCGCTCTCATGCGAGCTGGCTAGACTTGCTATGTATCAACCTCGCGAGTTTCGAAGCGTGCGGGCTAACTGCGGGCAGTGGATATTGCTCGCTGTAAAATTTGTAATAATTTTTTATTACCAACTGTTTATTAAAATAAACATAGTACATGCAGTTGAATCAGTTCTGCGGAGCGGGCATTTTAGGCCGCGAAGCGGCCAAGAGAGCCAGTGGACGAAGTACTTTTTTGAAGGTAAGCCTTTTAACTGATGATCCCATCGCTGTCACTTCGCATTTCCATAAGGTAATAGACCTTCGAATGTTGACAAGAGCTGTCAAAATAAACCATTCATAGCGTTTACCAGAACCCGGTATACCGGAAGGATCCGGAAGGAGCTTTTGTTAAAAAGTACCATTAAAGGGGTTTTTACGACTCTCACTCCGCACCCCTTCCCCTC